GCGTTGTCCGTGGAAGTAAAACAAAATGTTGATTTTTGTCAGAAAAAAAAATGTTTGAAGTTATTTGAAACAAATAAACCGAAACTAATAGTCGCAAAGTTTAATGGACAAAATTGTTTTGCCAGTTTACCTGCCGGCTATATGGAAAACGTCAGGTTTGTTCTCGAAATCGTGAAATTACCTACTCAGTATTGGTTTACCAACGATTAAAATTAGAAACCACATCGCTTTCAAAATTATGAAAGCTTGCCGTTTTTGACTGTTTGAGAGATCACGAGAAGGTGACAACCTGTTGGTGGTCGTCAGATCGTAGCGTTGTTTAGGATCTAATTGAACACACAAATCATATGAATCGGCCATACGTATATATTTCGGAATGCCGTTAGGGCTATCGCCTATGAATGGTTTGATCTGAAACACGATACTCGAAAGTACGATGATGAAACCGCGAAATCACGAAACCACGATGGTGAAAACGCGACAGTACGATGATGAAAACACGACAGTACGATAACGAAAACGCGATAATACGACAGTACGTTGATGATAATACAATTAACTATCGTGTTTTCATCATCGTACTTTCGCGTTTTCACCATCGTAATATCGTGATTTCTCGTTTTCATCATTGTACTGTCGTGTTTTCATCATCGTACTATCGCGTTTTCACCATCGTACTGTCGCGTTTTCATCATCGTACTATCGCGTTTTCATCATCGTACTATCGCGTTTTCATCATCGTAGTTTCGTGATTTCGCGTTTTCACCATCGTACTTTCGACTATCGCGTTTCAGGTCAACACATTCATAGGCGATGGCCCTAACGGCATTCCGGAATGCCGTTAGGGTCATCGCCTTTGAATTGTTTTATCTAAAACGCGATACCCGACAGTACGATGATGAAAACGCGAAATCACGAAACTACGATGGTGAAAACGCGACAGTACGATGGTGAAAACACGATAGTTTATCGCGTTTTCATCATCGTAGTATCGTACTGTCGCGTTTTCATCATCGTACTATCGCGTTTTCATCATCGTAATTTCGCGTTTTCACCATCGTAGTTTCGTGATTTCGCGTTTTCACCATCGTTCTATCGACTATCGCGTTTCCGATCAACACATTCATAGGCGATGGCCCTAACGGCATTCCGTAATATACACATATATATTACTCCTACTTCCATATATATATGAGTTATTATAATATAATTGTAAACGGTCAAATATTTTTTCTTATGACCGTGTTTGAAGCCCACTGGCAGTTCAAATTTCCTATCCTATATATTATTAGGCATATCTAATTAGCATGATCAAGTAGTAAGCTTTCGCCGTTGACCAAAACAATTAAGATATCACATTTTGACTGCTCTAAGGAAGCACGCTATTCTAAAATTTTAAACATTTTTCCTGAAAAGATAAGCATAGCTGTTACAGATATTAGAAAATGTTTTGCATTGATGGTTTCGTATATCTCTCAGCCAACAAAGTGATTATGCATATTGTTGGTGGTAAAAATGAAGTAATGTGATGAGGAATATATATTGGATTTTGTCCCATGAAAGCAATGAACATGTTTTATGCTTGGTCATAAAACGTTGTAGAATTGCCCAGTTCCCCTAAACCACCTCGTTACCCGCAATAAAGCATGCCTATCTTATAATGAGGTATTGATGAAAGAAAAACATCAGCAAAGTGTTGTCTACTGCATTTTTAAAAGCGTACATACATTATTACAAGTTGTCAGTGTAAGCATTTTTTGTCTAATAAAACGCTTTGAGGTATCTGCTGATTAAGTTGCTGACGGAAATTGTCTAAATTGTCGTGAAATGCTGTTTCAAAACCAATTTGAAAGATTTTTTTTCTAAGGGTCCGTCAATATTTTATATACGTATTCGTACATGGGGAATTAGGCTCAAATCATCATTAGCTTATGTAGCATGCCAAAAAAAGTTTATTAATCAAGATGAAATGCAAGCTTGTCACAATAATATGTAAATTTGAATTGCGAGTGTGTACGCCCGGGAAATAGAAAAATATTTTGCTATATTTTGCTACAACTCGGTCTTTAAACCGTTTAATATGTAAAGCAAATTTTTTAGTAACATTCGTGATTAAATATCTGTATATTTGCAACTATACTTAACAAAAAAAATTGGCATCGTATGTTAGGCAATGAATTTACTCGGTAAATAAACTTGGAAAATGAAATATAACGATTTACCTTCACTAAAACCAATTGTATATCAAAGAAAATGCTAATTCTAATGTAATTTCGAGCATTTTTTTCAAGCAAGAAAACTTTTCAACTAAATATTGGTCACATTACATATGTTTAACAACCGTTTCGCATATTACTGTTTAATTTTTAATTACATTTAGGAATTCTGATAATTTTCTTTAGTTATTGATAACGAATTATGACTTATATTAACGATTACAATGTAAACATAAAGTACAAATATTTTCGCGAAAATAAATATATACATCAACTTCGATGAAAAAAAACAAAAAAAAAAACCACAAAAAAAAACAACAAAAAACAAATACAAAAAACGCATGCATGGAGACTGTTGATATAGAGGGTAACGTGGTACCTTGTTTATTGTCAACACAGCACGAGCACTTCGATTGACATTTTTATTTACATTTTGTACTTTAAAAAGAATTTATAAGGTAACGAATATATGATAACACAAACTAATTTCTGCATCAACAACACAAACAGTACGCTTCATTTGACTTTAGTTTAATTGTGTACATGAAAAGCAGATATAGCAGAATTGAGAATGCATCTGTTTCTTGTCCGTGTCAGTCTCTATATCTTGTTTATCTCGAGCATGTATTTTCCGTTAATTTACTGCACATCAAAAATGAACACTTCACACTTTTCAAGATAAGACCGCTATTGTTATTCCCATTTGAATTGGCTGTTTTATCAATTTCGATAGAATATATATGTGAACATTAAGTACAATGAATGTAACAGAATAACACGGTGAAATAAAACTTTCTATTCGGACGATGTTTTACTGTTTTGTAAAATGCAGTATTTGGAGACTATTTTAAAGAGATGCATAATTTTTCTCTAAATCTATGTAAAATACATTACATTTCATATTCAACGTATGCTACACACATTCGAGGACAATTTACTAGCTCGAGACTTTAAGGACTTTGATTCAAGTCATAATATCATTATTTTCTCAAAAATTCTAACAAAAAGATTTCTTCCTTCAATAACTAATGCATTAAGGAAGGATAAATTTCTTACAATTTGCATAGGATTTACAAATACATACGGTGCACTTCTTGTATGTTTTATCATGCATAAAACCGATTGAAGTCTCAAAAAAGCTATAAAATTACAAAATGCACTGAGTCTGTTAATATATTTGTTGCTTTGGATGTTATGGAAATGATATAAGTAGCATGATAAAATAACAATATCTGCACCGCTCTCTACAGACATATTAATCTATCGATTATAACTGTAATATATCCTATATATCCGAAATTGGTACATATTTGTATGCAATGCTTATATGGTACATGTATAACAATTGTTTCTAATTCACGACTTATCAAAAGGGGTCGACACACATTGTTATAAAGATCTTACCATTGAAGGCATATACACATCTATACATCTCACTAAATACTTTTTCCTGGAACTTAACTATTTAGAATTTAAAAAAGTAAATAGTACATCTCTGTATAAAATGCTTACTATTTTAGTCTATCTGGAAATGAAATTATAATTACAATAGGCTGAAAATTAATTGCATTGAACTATCTTAGTAAAATATATATATATTTAATAAACAATGTACATTTATAATACTGATACTGGCAAAAATATTAAGGAGATAATCTTTCATTCAATATATTTATCACCGCTGATATGAATACGTAATGGAAATGTTTTTTGTTTTTTTCAAATCTGCTTTTAATCATAATATAGTTTGAGCACAATATTTCTCTACAGTATAATGACTGTTAACATTATACAGTATACAACCTCACATTAGACAATATGTAGCCATTTAAGGATATATTGACTAGTTAACATTTTAAAAGTAATAAAACAGAACAAAACCTCCTTTCAATAAGTTAGTTAGAATTTCTGTCACGTAATTACACTCTTATTCTGTCGCCTACATCGACTGCTTAAACATTGTTTTGTATTAAAATGTTGACTGTCATATCAAATTTTGCGTTTATATTTCACGTCTTGAGAAATGCTGGTTTGTTAAGTAAATTATGTGCATTATACTTTAAAACCTATCGTATTATTATCAGTATTTAATATTTAGAATCTTTGAAATATTAAATGTAAAATACTGCCTACACCACCCACGACTATCTTATTCCCGGGTTATCTTACTATACTTCCTCCTAATGTTAAGGATCAAATTCGTTTGATTATTAGTTTACCATTCTCAAATTATTCATGTGAAGTTATTTTAGAGACATGTGGTATAAAATGATCTCTTCAATGAATTACTAATAGGCGTCTTCTACAGTTTCATATAGACAAAATGCATCCTTACATTAGAATTTATGAGAGTATGATAACAAAACAACATTTAAAAGCGGAAACATTTCGGGATCACCGAGCAGAGCAAATATCTTAAAAGCAGTCTGACTTACTTTAATTGACAATTGGTTTATCGTTGACCAAGAACAAAAACAAAACAAAACAAAACTGGCATAGGTTAAAAATACAATGTATACAAACTAATTCATACCAATCATTGAAATTTTGCACAATCTCTTGACAGGGAGTCACCTATACAAAAAAAAAAACGGAAAAAGGCCATGCTAACTATAATTGCTAATTATCGGCCCCTTAAACAAGTGCACCTCTTTCAAATACAAGTACAGAATCGATCTTGATTTGCTTATTTGTTACTGTTATCATATTCTAAGAAAATGCGAAGTTTCTATCTTTATATAACTGTACATGTATTATACGATTTTAAATAAGTTATTCTCCCGCAATGCATGCATGCACTTAATAACTGGTAAGATTATTATTCTTAATGCTTTCACTTAAATAACCAAATTTATAGATAAAGATACTTTTTGAAGAATGAATTAAACCCAAACGGTAACTTGTCATTAATTCCTGTGTAAGAAATAATATTGAATGCAATCCATTACTGCGAGAAAACACAATATCACAATATAACTTCTCTGTTCCATCTAAAATAATATATCACATATCGTCACCCATTGTTATCACCCTATGTATTATACATTGGCAACTCCTTGTCCATTTGATATAAAAGGCATTGAATTTGAATGGACGATACCATTTTCATCTTTAGGTGTGTCGTTTTCATCAACAAGATATGTTTGGTATTTAGCTTTGACCATATTAAGAATAACTCGGCGTTCCCTAACACGCTCCCTAGTTTCGAGAACTTCTGATTTTCTCTCATATTGTAGGCGGCGTTTTCTGAAAGATAAAAGTACAGTATTTGACTAGATAAGTCACAGCCCGTTGTCTTTGAATGAAGAATGTTCCTATATGCTCAGTGAAATTTAAGTAAAATATTTTTGTAAATTGCATTACTTTGTCACCGCCACAAGAACACATAAGGGATGCTTTCAAATATTTAATTAACAACAAGTTTCATGTTAAATCTGAATAATGAATAATGCTAGAGGACGTGGACAGAAGCTTGCATTTACCAGATTCCTGCAACATTTTGTAGTTGTTGACATTCTTTTAGCTTCAGCTTTCTATAATATCTATTTTATGTATAATCATGTCAAGATTGGACGGACATGTTCCAGAAAATAGGTATCTCATTGAGGATTGTTATCATATTATTTTGTCTGATATAATGGTTCCTTTGATTTTCATATAAATAAAGATTTATTTTCAGCATTTTTTTTGTAATTAAAGGTAACTTTAATATTCCTTTTAAGACATTACAAATGGTCCGTATTTCATTTAAATTTGAAACATTTAGTGTCTTGCAGAGACAGTACTACAAATAATTTTAAAACATGTTAGGTGGGTCTTACTTGTATAAGATAAGCTTTAATTTAAATAATTAAATTTTTTTGTAAATCGTTTCCTTTAAATTTTACCCGTTAAAACATTGTATTCTCATTAAATTGTTGTTTTTAATAGTTCACATGTATTAATAATTGAAATAAAACAAGTACAACATATATAAGTACATGTATTGCTTTTCATACTGATATCTTATACTTTTGTTTTTCATAATATTCAAATTAAACGCAATAAAATATTGATATTTTTAAAGGATGGCGACAAGGCTTAAGAAAGAGGAATATATATTACAGACTTAATGAAATAAATATATAGGAGTATTATCTGGAAATAGGGGAGATCCCTGAAGAACAATAAAGGTAAAAAAGGTGATAATTGCAGACTTGGTTTGACTTGTTGTCCATGTGGGTTATAATGAAATATGCAAGTTGGTTAATGTCCCTCTAGTACCAGTACAACCAATATTCGATTTTCTTTGCAATAAAAAAGTCACCCTTACCTGTGATAAAACCAAAAGTTGATGGCAAGGAATATAAGACAAACAACTGTAATTATCACATATGGTAACCATAGCATCGATTGTCTGGTTTCTTGTAATGTATCTGAAGTGGTCTCATTGAAAAACGGCTTCATTTACGCTTTTTATTCATTGTCTGAAAATACATCAATTTTTCAAAACTATAAATAACATGTGCATAATTCAGCTTAACTCGCTTAACGGGGAAATTACTGTGAATATTTATAATTATATATATGTAATAACTTTAATATCATTTATTTATTTTTTATATTACATAACAGTCATTTCTACTAGGAAGACAAATATCATTTTATTGAAGAAAAATAACGACAAGTAATCAACGTTTTATCCAATAAAAATGAGAAAGCACAAGGATGAAAAATATTTTTTGTTACCTCCAAGTTCTATTTTAGAAACGCATATAAAATACCTTTAAGTGAATGTAAATAAAGAGTATTTTTAGAAAGACACAGAAAGGATGAAGTTGACGTGAAATTTATAATTGATTTAGCGCAACTTTTGTTTAAAATGAAAATCATGTGACCTACTTTATTATCATTTAATGCATTTCTCTGGATTTTTGCGGTATTTATCACGGCTATAAATCATGCGTTGTTCTTAATGACTGTCTTTAAATATTATAATGAAGGAGTCGCAAAATTTAAACTTTAAAGTCATATTTAGAACGTGTTATTAAGGAGGATTAAAGATACATTTGAAGTACAAAAATTGCATTTGTGATAATGTTTATTGATGAAAATGTACGTTATGATTAAAATAACAGTTGACAGTGCCACCGTTAAATTTCGGTAAAAGAAAACATGTTTACAGTATAACATCACGTTTCGGATTCATAATCAATAAAAAAATGTATTCTTATTCAGTGTAACATGTTGTTGTATTTTAAATCAATGTACTGGATACATATATGAGCCGTGCCACGACAAAACCAAAATAATGGGTTTGCGACCAGCATGGATCCAGACCAGCCTGCGCATCCGCGCAGTCTGATCAGGATCCATGCTGTTCGCTTACTTACCCTATTACAAGTAGAGAAACTGATAGCGAACAGCATGGATTCTGATCAGACTGCGCGGATGCGCAGGCTGGTCTTGATCTATGCTGGTCGCAAACGCACTATGTTGGTTTTGTCGTGACGCGGCTCATATCTGTCCTTATTTTACGTAATATCACACATTCTTCTTTACTTGTTTCATTTTGAACCAGGTAATTTTTTTTGATTGAATATCTACTGAAAAAAGAAATTACCGGTCTATTGTTCAATACTTGTTATAAATAAATACCTTATCTATCTTTCTTCGTGACAAAATAACAAAAACCATGTATATATCAGTTAAATAAGCCATATAAATATTTGTTGTTAAAGTAATGAATATCAATAACCATATTAATAAAAGCTTATAATACTACAAACATCATCTCTTTATCCAAATAAAGATACAAAAAAATTGTTAAGAATAATTTCTTGTTTTATTAAATAATAACTTTAAATACCTAAAACAAACAACACAAATTATGCTTACTGAAATATTACCTTCCTTTCTAACACTTCACAAATTTTGCGATGTATAACTCCTGATATTGAAAATTTTAAATTGTCCACCATAGAGTTTTCTTAATTGAAGTACATGTCTGATTCGAATACCAGTAAAAATATTATAGTTCCTAAATAAATTACAAAAAGTGAAGATTAAATGCATAAAACAATAACTTAAATCACGTCATACATGTATATGTGTAATTAAAATCTCCCCCAACTGTTGTTATATAGCGGTTGTAGGGAACAACATGTACTTCTAAATAAATCTCATACTTTGTCCTGCAATACTCCCTCTGTCACTCTGTATATATATATCATTGTAAAACCGATATCGGCAAAATTTGTCTCTTCTTAGAAGCACATATGAAGCTATCAATTCATCAACTATTTATTGGACAAGCCACTAAACGGAACTAAGTAGTCGTCTCATACCGTTAATGGCTTTGCTTATTTCTTTAATGTCTTAACATTCATGGTTCTCGGGTTATGTTCTACTAGTGGTTTTACATTTTATATTGATGAAGGTTTTAGTTCCCTTATTAATCTAAGTTATGTGTAGCGCCGATATATGTCCAAACGTCGAAAAATGTCCAAACGACGATAAATGTCCAAAATTTGACGATAAATGTCTCAATCGCCGATAAATGTCCAAAACTCCTTTAACGATAAATGTCCAAAAATTAACGAAAAATGTCCCAACAAATTAGGTGCTCATAAATGTCCAAATCGGTTAACGATAAATGTCTCAACTTTTCATATGTTTATTGCACTTATTTCTATGATCAACAGTATTGCATCAGTCAGTTATAAAGGTTTCCATAGGGATTAAAAGTACCGATTTAAGTAGCGTTCTCACCAGCATCCCGGCAAAGCCCAGGACCACCCCAGACGATCCGGGATGAAAATATTGTTGCAGTCTCAATAACCCCGGTAGTACTACGGCGATACCAATTTCCATACTTAATATAACAACCAAGATGAACTCCGGGCCATCTATGCAGAGTCCAGTTGAAACTACGGATAATGCAGATAGTAAGTGGACGACGGATGACCTAACACGATATTCAAACGCTGTTAAGTCTTCGATCAAAGAGATCATAAAGCTGAGATCCATGCTAGCACAGCCCCGAATGATGTCGGCAGAGTCCCGGGTGATCCCAATAGAGTGCCGACAATCACCGGTAGAGCCCCGGCAGAGCCCTTGATCATCCCGGACGTTGCCGACAGAGTTACGGACGTACCCCGGTCGTTCCTGGATCACCCGACAGACCACCGGGACTCTAGCAGGATGCTTGTGAGATTGTTAAAAAAGATTAAAAAATGTATTTGAAAATAAGTTGATTGTCGGATACAGTCTATCCTCTTACTATTAAAAGGGAAAAAAATAAGTTAAACCGAGGTGCATTGTACTGGTGCTTTACACCGGGCACTTAAAAGAACCAGGGTCACCTCTGGAACGGGGCGTCTTCTGTATCATGCACTATATTATGCCCCGCTTCGAAGAAGTGGGGGTATATTGCTTTGCCCATGTCGGTCGGTCGGTCGGTCGGTCCGTCGGTCCGTAGACCATGCCATTTCCGCTCTATAACTAGACAATGCTTTGGCTAATGGTCCTCATATTTGGTGTGGAGGTTGGTCATGACTAGTAAATGACCCCTATTGATTTTGGGGTCAGTAGGTCAAAGGTAAAGGTAACAGTGACCTCACCATGAAAAGCTTGTTTTTAGAAGATATTTTGTGTGTAACATTGTCTCATTGACAACTACAGGGTTTAATCAATTCATGGACCCATGGGTCATATTGATTCTGCCCCATGGCAATGATATACATGTATTCCATAACAAATTGACTATGCATTTTTTACACACATTTAAAAATCTAATGTTATAATATTAAATTGGCTGTGTTTAGGGGGCACACATGTTTTACAAACATATCTTGTTAACATCTGCATTGCGCTACTCTACACTTATAGCTATATTCAGTGTCGTCACTCGAACTCAACCTCCACTCAAACTCGGGAAAGGCTTCCTTAAGGACGAATTGAGAACGCCTTGGTCAAGGTGAACTCAAGTGTAGAATTGGTATTCATATTTGAAAGTCTTCCTCGACTTACCCGTAAATCACCCGTAAAATCCCGGGGTACATAACTCTTACATAACTCTGTATTGATAAAAACGATAATGCTTTAGTAACCAGTTAGCATAATGCAAAATGACAGCCATGTGTTATTTATATAATAAGTTATGTTAAGTTAATATTTGACATATAAGTAATTTTTAAATGCACATGTTTGTATCCAACCAGCACAGCATGAAAATATACTATTACGTCAAGTGTCTATTACGGTGGCACAGATGTGACACATGGGTGTCTCTATTTATTTTGTTCACACGAGATATTATCTTGTTCCCACGAGATATTATCTTGTTCCCACGAAATAATTATCTTGTTCCCACGAGATAATATCTTGTTCCCACGAAATAATTATCTTGTTCCCACGACATAATTATAGCCAATCAGAAGCTGTAATATGGTTATATAGCAGTTACTTCCCCTTATTTAGTTGAACATTTACTTGATTATATATACATTATATTCATGTTTACACACTTCCTGTGTTGTTTGTGACCGGTCTATATTTTTCGGATAGACCTGTTTAAACAAAAGAAAGTCCGTTATGAGGTCTATCTTTTGCACGTGCACAGGTCTGTTCTAGTCAGACAGACCCGGTCATTAAATACACGTGAAAAAATAAACCCGCCAGTGCGCAGACAAAAATATGAAATGTAATCAAAAATTAAAAATTGAAATAAAATGTAAATGATTGTCATAATGTTCATAATGTTCCTGTCTTACAAAATCCGGATACATATTTTAAACAAGATAATGTTCATTGAATGCACTAAACAATTATTCCTTATATTAAATCTTTGAATAAAAATAATGGATAGCATATCAAAGTTAGAACACATTTAACATTTATTTAATCACGTCATTTTTCAAAGTAATAGTAATCTAAGTTGTTCTTCTGTCATAAATTTCACAATATAATAAAATGGACGCTTCAAGTTCATATCAATGAAACTATATAGCAGTATTCACAGCATACTTATTACGATTTTAAAATGTTAATAAAGTTATAAGTTATTTAGTATATAAAAATTATGATGAACGATTATATTTTATTCTAGAACACTTTATAATCTGCTATATAAAATATAGTTTTGGTTCATATATCTCACACTTGCCACCAATATACATAATTATGTAAGTCTTTCGTGGTCTGCCGGGCATTCGGACATTGCCTTTCGTTCAGTTGCCCCCTCGGAAGTTTGCCCCCTTTTTGCAGTGGCGGTCATTTGCCCCCCCCCCCCTGATATCATTGGAAGGGGCGGACATTTGCGCCCCTTCCTGTTTTAAAAATGTTAAAATATTTTATTGTTTAATTGTTTGCTACCAAAATTCATTGTCTATTGTGGAAATTTCATTGTGCTTAAATACACAAAAACTCTCACGCAAATTTTTGAAAGTCAAAATAGCATCCATAAATAAATGTATAGTATAATATTTTCATGGGCATACAGAAAATCTATACACGAGATGACAAATGACAAGTTACAACAGCAAAAAAAGGGGGGGGGGGAAATGTCCGAGGACTAATGTCCTGGAATCTTCATTATCTGATACGAAATACTATCAACATAACTATTCATTCTTTAACATACCTTCTATTACAGATCTATTCACTTTATTATTGACAAATTGCACATTTAGCTTTTTTGATTATTTAAAAGGGGAAGGCAAAATTAAATGCAAATATATATTGTATTTAAGCAGAACGTTGATAAAAGGTTACCTGTTGTGTTAAAAATTATATTTGTGCTCTAGCAAAATACAGTTTAACGGTGTGTAAGTTGGATATCGACCTCGTACATCGATCTTTCTGTTCAGGAAAGACCTAGTCACGAATTTCATGAAACACATCGAGCGCTACGCGCTCTCGGTGTCACATGAAATTCGTGACCAGGTCTTTCCCTAAACAGAAAGACCTCGTACTCTGTCGATATCCTATACATAACCATGTAGGTTGATCTTGAAAGTGCCTCACTGTAGGGACATACAAAACCTTAACTACCAAATACTGTTGTTTAATAGCGCATACCCTCATCTGGTGACGCATTTGCGTGCAAACTGATCTGGGTCGACACTGGAGGGATACATGTAAGTAGCGAATGAGTAATAATCAAATACAAATGTCTTAAATCAATGTAGCATGAGAAGGACCGTCTTCGCAGCACTTAAGAGAAAAGTCACAAAACCCATTTAACACGTGCTGCGTATATGCTTATAACGACCATTGTCGAACCATATCCCCCGACAAGCAAATGCGTCATCCTGTCAAGGTCTGCACTTTTCGCTGTTAAATCAGTAGGTCAGATTTTAACTGTCAAAGCAGTTAACCCCTTGATTAGCTCACATGGTTTATACAGGTTAACTGCTTTGTTTGCCAGATAGAGTTGCATATTTTTCTTAACTTTTGACCACTTGACAGTAAAGGAATATGCAACTCTGTCCACGCCCCTAATAAGCCTATACCGTTCACAAACTTTCGGGACGGACACTCGGACGGACAATGGCAACGCTATATGGGGCACAAAAATATTGAAGAACTTCGGTGAGTTAAGAAGGCACATGCCCCCGCGCCCCATCCGGATCTGCAACTGGCCATGCACAATAATGTATGATACATTATATGTCAGGGGTAAACAAGAGGGTAAAATCACGGGTTAGTTGGATAGACTGTTACAGTATCCAATACAATAAATTACAAATTAACATAATAATTATGAAAAGTTGAGACATTTATCGTTAACCGATTTGGACATTTATGAGCACCTAGTTTGTTGCGACATTTTTCGTTAATTTTTGGACATTTATCGTTAAAGGAGTTTTGGACATTTATCGGCGATTGAGACATTTATCGTCAAATTTTGGACATTTATCGTCGTTTGGACATTTTTCGACGTTTGGACATATATCGGCGCTACAGTTAATTACATAAGAATGAAAAACAACACGTCCCAACAATTATTGAAATGGACTTGAGGAGGTTTTTGTTTTGTTTTGTTTTGTATGTTTTTTTTTAATTTTATTTTTATTTATTTATTGTTTTTTTTTTGCCTTTAAGTTTTCGTTTTGTTCATATGCTTCTTTTCTTAGACTTATTTCTATCCAAATGTCTTTGGTAAGATAACATACAAGTCGATTTAATTAAATTATTATATAGGAAGTGAACATAAAAAGTTTGTCGGAACTGGCAATATTTTTCCGAGACTTGT